AGCAGCCACCAGAAAAGGGGGGCGGGACCCCTCAGAGGGCGCAGGCAGCGCCAGGAGGGCTGCTGGCCGGGGGAGCACGTGGGCCATCCCTCCCGCCTGCGTGGCCAGCAGCCTGCCTGGAGCGGGAGGCGGCACAGGCGGCTGGACACGCGGAAGGGCCCCCGAAGGCGCGGGCTGCGCAGCCGTGGGAGGGAGCCGGCACATCCTGTGACTTTGAAACAGTCTGTGCCCTGCCTTCCCCTCCCCCGCTCCTCCCTGCCGCCCCCGGGGCCTGGCCCAGGCCGGTCCCCACAGCGCCTGGCCAGCGGCGGGGGCAGCGCTCTCGTGTCCGCCGAGCTGCCTCCGGGAACCGCGGGTCCCAGATGGGATTCCGCGGCGGCCACGCGTACTTTCCCGCGGCCGCCGCCTGGTGGCGCTGTGCGATGACTTCGGAGCTCCGAGGAGCAGGTACCCCAGAGGCGCTGGTCCCCCAGAGGCCCTGGTCCCCCAGAGGCGCTGGGTCCGTTTGAGAATGGGTTGCCAGGGACATCCGCCTGGCCAGGCCGGCCTTGCTCCCTCCACGGGACCTGAGGCCACTCTGGTTTGTGGACAAGGGAAGCCAGGAGTCTTTTTTTTTTTAATGTTGTCACATTTTGTAATTTATTGTTTTTCTTAGGACAGGTTGCTACATTGTGCTTTTATTTTAGTTTCTTTTTGAGTCCGGTGGCTTGCCTTTGTTTTTCATTAAATCTACTAGAGGCCTGATGCATGACATGCGTGCAAGAGTAGGCCTAGGCCTCCCTTCCTCCCGCTGCCAGGACCAGCTTCCTTCTGGCACCCTGGACCCAGGTTTCCCTCCCAGCCCTGGCTTCGCCTGGAAGGACGTTCAGTCTAATTAGCGTATTACACTTTTATTATAGATTGGAGTGGCATCCTATATAATAAAAGATTAATATGCAAATTGCCCCCTTGACTGGGAGTTGGACCAGGGGGCAGGGCTGGCCTGCCATTTGCCTGAGGTCCCGGCCTCTGGGTCTGGATCGAGGTGGGCTGGACCCCACCTATGCACGATTTCATGCACCGGGCCGTTAGTTGGTTAATAAAATCAATAGTTTTCAAGTGTTCATTTATTTTCTCTCTATTTTTTAAAAAAATAATTGTATCTCTTTTTTTACAGAAAGGAAGGGAGAGGGATGGAGAGTTAAACATTGATCAGCTGCCTCCTGCACACCCCCCACCGGGGATGTGCCCACAACCAAGGTACATGCCCTTGACTGGAATCAAATTCGGGACCCCTCAGTCCACAGGCCAATGCTCTATCCACTGAACCGAACTGGTTAGGGCTTCTCTCTTTCTTTTTACATCTTTATTGTTGAAACTATTGCATATGTCTTCTTTTCCCCCTCATTGACCTCTCCCGGGTCTCCCCTACCCCCTCCTATCCCGGGCCTTCACCACCCTGTGTCCATGGGTTATGTGTATATGCACACAAGTTCATTGCTTGATCTCTTCCCACCCATCCACCATCCCCTGCTGGGAAGGGAGGAGTCTTATCTTGGCAATCTCCATGCTTGGCTGGTTCATGTGCCCACGAGGCTGCCCTCCTCCAGCTCCCCCAGTGACAGACACACCCTGAGGCCTGAGGAGTGACTGGCAGGGGTGCTGCCGGGACAAGGAGCTGAAATGACTCTTCATGGGCGCCCCCCACCCCCATGCCTCCTCCATGACTGAAACCGTGTGCTGCAGTTCAAGTCCTTCCCGCCCCAGGCAGCTCTCCTGGCCCCGGACACCCTCATCTGTCACGTGGTTCTGTCATTTTGGGAGCCACCCATACTGTGTGCGGCAAAGCAAGACACCCTGAAACCCCTCCCCCCCCCAAGAGGAACATCACATGTGTGTGTGTGTGAGTGTGTGTGTGTGTGTGTGTGTGCCCCTCCTCACTGAACATCTTCTTTGCCTCCTTTCTTAGGGTCACTGCTCAGACCTGGGCTGAGATCCAGACCTTCCTGTCTGCTCTAGGCCCCTGCGGGCCCCCTGGGTCCTCCCAGCAGCCCTAGCGAGAGCCCACACCAGCAAGGACATGCTTATGGAAGTCCTGCCGCTTACCGGGCGCTATGCCAATCCTCACTGGCACCTTTACCCCCCTGGGGATGCCATGCGGCAGGCACAGCCACTATTCCGATGTCACAGCTGGAGAAACCGAGGCACAGGGAGGTGGTTGGTTGGTTTGTTTGGAACGTGTCTTGCCTGAGCGACACCGATGGGAAGGGGCAGAGCTCACACCACCGGTGGCTGGTGCTGTGCCTTCTCCCCTCTGCACCGGACGGTCCCTCTGCCTATTTCCTGTCCCTCCAGATGTGTACGTATGGATCCCCCAAACCCCCTCCCCGCCAGCTGGCCTCCTCTCATCCCTCCGTGGACCTCAGGCCACCCACCGGTCCTGTGGGGGGTGCCTGTTCCAGCCTCTGCCCGAACCCGAGGGCAGGGCCAGGGGTGGGTGGCCCCACCTCCCTAACGCCGGGACCCACACATGCTGCACACTCAGCGACTCAGCTAAGTTCTGGTCATAAATGACTTTCCTCCCGGTGTGCGTGCCCCCCCCCACGCCCAGGGTCCTCTGTGGAAGCAATGGCGCATGAGCTGGTCCAGTCCCGCACAGCAGTGGGGAGTGGAGGGAGACTGGGGTAACACGCCGGAAAGGGCGTTCGCTCCCCCCACAGGTGCTCTGATGATGGCCCACCAGCATGAGGGGGCATTCCAGAAAGAGCCTTCTCCCCAAGCCCCTTCCCCAGGAGCCAGTAGGGGTTGGTGCAGGGCGGGCTTGTGGGCAGGAACTGCCTGGGCCAGTGTGGCTGGGGTGGGGGAGAGTGACAGGTGGGACATCAGCCAGGGAGCCACAGTCCTTTTCGGATCCCTGGGCTCAAGAATGCAAAGAGGGGTGGGGGCTAACTGGTTTGGCTCAGTGGACAGAGCGTCCCAGGTTCGATTCTGGTCAAGGGCATGTACCTTGGTTGCGGGCACATCTTCAGTGGGGGATGTGCAGGAGGCAGCTGATCGATGTTTCTCTCTCACTGATGTTTCTAACTATCTCTCTCCTTTCCTCTCTGTAAAAAATCAATAAAAGGTATATTCTAAAAAAAGAATGCAAAGGGCTCAGGCACTCCCAGGCCCTGCCGGGCCAAACATATTGACTTATTTATTCTCCGAATCAGGACTGTATTGGGGGTTAATGGACGCGAGGGTCCTGTGCTTGGTGAGCAGCATGTCCTTCATAGTGATGGCCCTCTGCGAGCCACACAGGGACGGGAGGCCCGAGGGCCTCTCGCCCAGGCTGCTCGCACCCCCTTTATTTTCTTTTTTTTTAAACATATTTTTTATTGATTTTTTTTTTTTTTTACAGAGAGGAAGGGAGAGAGAGAGAGAGCTAGAAACGTCAATGAGAGAGAAACACCGACCAACTGCCTCTTGCACACCCCCCACCGGGGATGTGCCCACAACCAACGTACATGCCCCTGACCGGAATCGAACCCGGGATCTTTCAGTCCGCAGACCGCTCTACCACTGAGCCAAACCGGTTTCGGTTCTTTTCTTTAAAAAAAAAAAATATTTCATTGATTTTTCACAGAGAGAAAGGGATAGGGATAGATAGTTGGAAACATCGACCTGCAAAACCCCTATTGGGGAAGTGCCCGCAACCAATGTACATGCCCTTGACTGGAATCAAACCCGGGACCCTTCAGTCCGCAGACCGACGCTCTATCCATTGAGCCAAACCGGTTTCGGCTGCACCCCCTTTCTGATCTACGCGCTGGCCTTCTCGCTGGGGGGAGCAGGAGGTAGGAGGATTTGGGGCGAGTGACAGGAATGGGGCCGGAGGTGGGGTTTGGGGCGGGGCGGGGGCTGTCAGCACCCCGGACAGCGCCGCCTGGCTCCGCCCCCGGGAGCCTCCTCCGGGCCGGGCTGGGCGGTCCGACCTCCGCCGCCCGGGGGCCGCGGAGCCGTTCGCCGCGGCCGTTGCCGCCAGCGGCTGAGGGTGCGGGCGGAGCAGATGGACGGGGAACGCCCAGCCCGTTCGCCGCTCCAACCGCCACCGGCGAGGAGGCGGCCCGCGCCGCTGGGGCCGGAGCACGGGACCCCCGCCTCCCGCCGCTGGACCCGCCTCCCGCCACTGGCCCCGCCTCCCGCCGCTGGGCCCCGCCTGCCCCGCCGCTGGCCCCGCCTCCCGCCGCTGGACCCGCCTCCCGCCGCTGGGCCCCGCCTCCCGCCCCTGGGCCCTGCCTGCCCCGCCGCTGGGCCCCGCCTCCCCGCCGCTGGGCCCGCCTCCCGCCGCTGGGCCCGCCTCCCGCCGCTGGGCCCCGCCTGCCCCCCGCTGGGCTCCGCCTGCCCCACCGCTGGGCTCCGCCTGCCCCGCGGGCGGGGATGGGGACGCAGCCGGCGTCGGATGGAAAGAAAATGGGCTCCGAGGGCCCCTGGGTTTCCCGGGCTCCTCCGGGCCTCAGTTTACCATCCAGAACCGAGGACTGGGACCAGTGGCCTCTAACTGGGAGCCCCAGGCGTCCTCAGAGCCCTGGCGGCCCGGCCTGGGCAAGCCGAGACCTCTCTCCCCGCCGCTGGGACCCGCGTTCGCAGAGCGACTGGGGGGCGGGCGAGCCCCTCCCGGGAGGAGAAAGGGGGAGGTGCTAAACCTGAGTGAGTGAGTGAATGAATGAATGAGTGAATGAGTGAATGAATGGAGAGGGCGGAGCTGGACCTTGTGGGGCGGCAGCTGCGAAAGCTGCGATGCCACCCCCGCCCCCCCGTCGCCGGGGCTCTGGGGCCCCTGGGCCTGCGACCCCGCCCGGATGGGCCGCGAGGGGCCGGAGCGAGGTCCCCGGGGCTCTGCCCTCTCCCTCCCCCCTCACCACCCGCTCCCGGGCGGGGACACAGGCGGAGGCGGGGCCCGCGGGCGGCCGGACTGCGCGGTCCCGCACCTTCCGCGTCTCCCGAGCGCCGGCCGCAGCCGGGCCGCCTCCCCGTCCAGCATGGGGCTGCCTCGGAGGGCGCGACCGCCGTCCGAGCTGCGGAAGGTAGGATCGGGCCCGGGGCTGGGACGCGCTGTGCGCAATGCCCGCTCCCCCATAACCGCGGTCCCCCCCCCATAACCGCGGTCCCTGCTCCCCCATAACCGCGGCCTCCGTCCCCATAACCGCGGCCTCCGTCCCCCATAACCGCGGTCCCCGCCCCCCATAACCGCGGTCCCCCCCCCATAACCGCGGTCCCCGCCCCCCATAACCGCGGCCTCCGCCCCCCATAACCGCGGCCTCCACGCCCGCAGAGCCTGAAGCCGCTGCTGGAGAAGCTCCGCCGTGCGCTCATCAACCAGAGCCTGCGGGGCTCCGGGCGCTCGTCCCACCGCTGCTCGGCCTGGAGGTGAGGGGGCGCCGGACGGGGCGGGGGGGAAGGGGGAGAACCGGGGGGAGGGAGCGCGCGGAGCGAGGCGGGCGGGAGCGCTGGTCGCCTGGACCCCAGGAACCTGCGAGGAGGCCCCGCCGGGCGCCCGGGGCCGGCCGAGCGCAGGTGGGACTGGTCCCCGGCAGCCGGGCCCTCCGCGGGCCTGGAGCGCGCCCAGCTGCGGGCCGGAGCGGGTGGGGATGGATTGGGATGGAGCAGGGGGGAGGGGAGGAATGGGGCTGAGGGGGTGGGGATAGGGCTGGGGGGGTGGGGTTAGGGATGGAGGGGATAGGGATGGGGGGGTAGGGATAGGGCTGGGGGGTGGGGATAGGGATGGGGGTGGGGTTAGGGATGGGGGGCATAGGGATGGGGGCGTGGGGATAGGGCTGGGGGGTGGGGATAGGGCTGGGGTGGGGATATGGGATGGGAGGTGGGGTTAGGGATGGGGGGGATAGGGCTGGGGGCGTGGGGATAGGGCTGGGGGGTGGGGTTAGGGTTGGGGGGATAGGGATGGGGGCGTGGGAATAGGGCTGGGGGTGGGGATAGGGATGGGGGGGGGGGATATGTCTGTGGTTGGTGGGATAGGGCTGTTGGGTTTTAAGGTGGGGATGGGGGGGGTGGACCAGGCAGCCAGCCGGCAGGCCAGAGGGGATCTGTCCTGATGTCCTCTCTCTGTCCCTCTCCCTATGGCCGCCCGCAGAGCTCCGGCTGCTCCAGGCTGGAGAAGGCGGACATCCTAGAGATGACGGTGCGCTTCCTACGGGAGCTGCCCGCGCCCCCCAGCCCCGCGGCGGCGCCCGGTGAGTGGCCCGCCAGCCTGTCCACACCCCGCACCCGGCGCCTCTCCCTGCCCAACCCTGCACCCCGAACCCTGCTGCACTCCCCGCGCCTCTCCCCACACAGCCCATCGCTCCGCGCCTCTCCCCGCCCCGCCCCGCATCCCGTGCCTCACGCGCCTCTCCGCCCCGCAGCGCCCTCTGACGGCTTCCGCCAGGGCTACGCGCCTGCCGGGCCAGCGCTTTGCCCGCCTGCGGCGCCCCGGAGCCCGCGCTGGGCCGGCTGCTGGAGCACCTGCGGCGGAGAGTGGCCACCTCCCCCGCCGGCAGGCGCCCCGAGGACGCCTGGGGGGTCCCCCCCGCCCTCCGCGCCGCCCACCCCCGCGCCCCCGCCGCCTGCGTGTCCCCGCGGCGCCGGCCTCTGGCGGCCCTGGTAGCCCTGGCGAGTCCACGGACCCGCTGACGGCCCGGGGATGGAGGAAGCTCTTGGTGGCCGCTGCCTGTCCACCGGGAGGGACCAGCTACGGCCAGGCCGCAGCCCGCAGCCCCGGCTCTGAGCCCAGACTGCAGGCCCTGGACTCCGCTGGAAGAAATAGGGGAGAAGCCCGCCTCCCCGCCACCCCCTCCGCCCAATGAGGGTGCCTGGGCCGCAGGAGAAGGGGGCGTGGCCGCAGGGAGGAGGAGGCCCACCCCTGCGGTGGCCGTGGCTGCAGGCCTGGACCAGCCCAGTCGCCCTGCAGCCGGCGCACCGGTCCCGGCACGGCCCGATCCAAGGGCTGACCCAGCTCCCGCAGCCGGGTGCAGCCGTCTGCTCGCTGCCCTCCCGGCCCTTCCTGGGCCGCCCCCTCGCCAGCTCTGCTGGGCAGCCTCTGGGCAGACCGGAGCAGTGAGCTGAGGGCTCTGCAGGCCGGACGGGAGCCATCCCCTCCTGGGCCCTCCTTCCAAAGCCTGAGTGGCAGGGCCTGGAGGCAGCCAGGCTCGGCGCCGGCAGGCTGGGGTATGGCTGGGTGGGCAGGGGGAGCATCAGTCTAACCTGGCTTACATGCCAGGCGTGAGGAAGGGGTGGGCAAGAACGTGGGTGCCCTGGGGCCCGAGGAGCCCAGCGCAGAGGCAGTGCCGGGAGGGGAGCCAGACCGGTCACTGTGGCAGAGCCAAGGGCGGGGCACCCGGGGAGCTCAGGAACCACGGGGGGCTGAGGAGCAGGTGATGTGACCAGACCAGGAGGTACTGACCCCTGGACAGCCTGGCCTCCGCCCCGACTCCCACCGGGGGCTCTCACATCTCTTAGAACGGTAGTCGGCAAACTGCGGCTCGAGAGCCACATGTGGCTCCAGAGCTGCCTTTTGCCGACCACTGACTTAGACTATCTGCTCCGCAGGCCTGGGCTCCCCGGACAGCAGGGGGGAGGGCGTGGGGGGAGGGTGTGGAGAGCCGGCGCCCCAGGCTGGGACTGCTCTGCGGAGCTGCCAGGAGGGGGCAGGTACCCACAGGCCCACACCCCCAGGCGGGTGCACTGCAGCTCCCTGTCCCACAGGAAGAGCTTTCTCTCTGGGCGCAGCGTCTGAACCTGGCCCAGGGGCCCCTCTCCTCCGGCCGCACCTGCCACCTCCTGGTCTGAGCTCGGCCGGTCCCAGCTCTGTGACTCGGTGACCTGCCCTCTGCCAGGCTGTGCTGGGAGCAGGCGGGTGGAGGTGTGCAGACAGGCCAGTGATGCAGGGTCAGGCGTTCCGGGCTCAGAGCTGGCAGCCAGCCTGTCCTGGCAGGAGCGGAGGCAGGCCCAGGTGGGTGAGGCTCTGGGCCCAGCAGGGAGGGGCACCAGCTGCCCCGGCGGCTGCTGGCACTCAGGCTGGGCTTGTGACACGGAAGCCAGCCTCCTCCACAGGCACCTGTGCACACCTGCTTCCTGGCAGCTCCCTGCTGTTCCCAGAGCCTGTGTGGCGCCCCAGGTGGGCACAGGGCCAGCGGGCCTTTCTGGTGTGGGAGGGAGTCCCCCCCCACTCAGGAGCACCCCATGATTCTTAGCAAGGCCCACGTGGTGCCCAGCTGGTGGCCCTTTCTGTGACGGCCCCAGGACTGACTGCTGGCACGCTTAGTCGCAGGGAAGGGCCTGGGTTCTTACAAACCAGTGGGTGACAGCCAGCGCCTGGAGCACCTGGGAGCCTCAGGCTGGGCTGCCCCCACCCCCGCCCCCGGGGTCAAGTCTCCTGTCCACGGTCAGTGATAAAGGCGGGTTCCCAAGGAGACTGCTCTAGGAAACATCTACAAACCACGAAGCCCAGACTCCGCTGAGTCTCCCCTGGCTCGCCTGGAGCAGGAGCAGAGTGAGCTGGGTCTGCAGAACCTCCCATCATGCCTCAGGGCGGCCCCAGAAGCCAGCGGCGGGATCCAGGGCCCTTCCCCTTCCCGTGCAGCCACCTCCTCCTCCCACCGTGGAGGCCACATTGACTCTAAGAACATGCCAGGCTGTTCTAGCCGGTCCAGTGGTTATTTCCTTGGCTTTACTGCTTGTCTGGACCCCTTCCCAGTGTGGCCCTGCCTCTGGGTGCCGCGCGCGCGTGTGTGTGTGTGTGTGTGTGTGTGTGTGTGCGCGCGCGCGCGCGTGTGTGTGTGTGTGTGTGTGTGTGCGCGCGTGTGTGTGCTGTGTGTGTTCCTGTGCCCGTGTCCCTTGCAGCCCTGCAGAGAGCAGCCCTGGCGTGTGAAGGGGGTGAAGGCAGCCGCCAACTGTGGGTTCCACGTGAGCAACTGGTTTCACTCTGGGTTTTGAGAGGCGCTGGCAAAGCTCAGGTGTGGAAAGCATCTGTCATAAAGCTCTGAAAGGTTTCGGTGGCGTGAGAAAGGCACCTGAGGGAACGCCCTGTGTGTGTGTGTGTGTGTGTGTGTGTGTGTGTGGTGTTGTGTCACTGGAGATCCACTGGAGGGCAGCAAAGAGCAGGGTCTGCGGCTGCTCACGGGACCCACCTGTGAAAGGGAGACTGGCTGAATGGGTGCCCCCCTGCTGGTCTGCGTGGTGTTCAGGATGCTGAAACCCTAAGGAGCCCAGGACAAAGTCTGCAGAGAACGAGGAGCTGTTCTGGACCCCAGAAACCAGAGCAGGCCCAGCGCCGCGGGGACTGCACTTGGAGACCCTTTGTAAGAAAACATAAAGTAGCTGAAACCGGTTTGGCTCAGTGGATAGAGCGTCGGTCTGCGGACTGAAAGGTCCCAGGTTCGATTCCGGTCAAGGGCATGTACCTTGGTTTCGGGCACATCCGTGGTAGGGGGTGTGCAGGAGACAGCTGGTCGATGTTTCTCTCTCATTGACGTTTCTAGCTCTCTAACCCTCTCCCTTCCTCTCTGTGGAAAATCAATAAAATATATTTAAAAACAAACAAACATAAAAGTAGGTATTAGACTTAGCATGAAAAGGAACCCTTACTCAGAACAAAAAATGTAAATCACAGCAAACCAGGGCTGTCTGCAGGGGGGCGATCCCAGTCCAGATACACAGAAATGCTTTTTAAGAAAACCTTTCTAGGTGATTGGTCATTATGCCTCAGGGCATAACAGATAATTAGCATATTCCTCTCTCATTATATAGGAAATTCGTGTGAGGAAATGGGGTGGGGGGGTGTTCCTCAGCCCAGCCTGCACCTCTCCAATCTGGGACCCCTCTAATGCCTGGGAAACCCAAGCCTCTCAACTGCTCATTGTAGCTGCAGCCATCTTGGTTGGGGTTAATTTGCATACTCACTCTGATTGGCTGATGGGTGTGGCTCTAGCGGAGTGATGATTAATTTGCATACTACTCTTTTATTAGGTAGGATAATTGGTTTCAGAGAGGAAGGGAGAGAGAGAGAGAAACATCAGTGATGAGAGAGAATCACTGATGGGCTGCATGTGCCACACTGGGGGTTGAGCCCACAACCCGGGCCTGTGCCCTGACCGGAATTGAACCTGGGACCCTTCCATCCACAGGCTGACGCTCTATCCACTGAGCCACACCAGGTAGGGCAGGGCGGCTTTATTTTGTAGCTTTGCACATCTCCTTGCTGTCTGCATCCCCAGAAGCACCTGGCTCCCAGGTCTGCCTCTGCACTCAGAGTTGTGATATGTGTTTTGGTTGAAGGATGTGAAGAAAATCTAGCCTCATCTATACTAATGAAAGAGTAATAAGCTAATTAGACCCGGAGACCTTCCAGAGACCTTCCAGACTTCCTTCCGGACAAAGCCAGGGGCTTGGGTGGCCTGCAAACCGCCCCCAAAGGGCCCTCAGCCCCTTGCCCAGGCTAGCCACGCCCCCAGTGGGGACCGTCACCCCGATTAGGAATGGCCAGACTGCAAAGACCATCAGTCCCTCACTCAGGCCAGCCCTGACTCCCAAAGGGACCTCCACCCTGATTCGGGACACCCTTCAGGGCAGACCAGCCGGCCCCCTCCCGTGCACCAGGCCTCTATACTAATAAAAGGAAAAATGCTAATTAGACTGGAAGACCTTCCGGGAGACTTTCTGGATGTCCTTCCGGACAAAGCCATGGTGGTGGGGCCCAGGCAGAGGCGGTTAGGGGCGATCAGGCTGGGGGGGGCAGTTAGGGGTGAGCAGGCCAGCAGGGGAGGCAGTTGGGGGTGATCAGGCCAGCAAAGGGGGGCAGTTGGGGGCAGGCTGGCAGGCTGAATGGTTAGGGGCGATCAAGCAGGCAAGCAGGTAAGCTGTCGGCAGCCAGTGGTCCTGGATTGTGACAGGGATGTCCAACCATTCGACCCACAGGATCGGGCCTAAATTGGCAGCTGGACATCCTCGAGGGGTCCCAGATTGGCGAGGGTGCAGGCTGGGCTGAGGGACACTCCCCCTCTCCCGGGGCTGTTGAAACTCCCTCCATTGCCCCACCACTTGCGCCCCAGATCAGCCCTGATCACTGGCCAGGCCTAGGGACCCTACTGTGCATGAATTTCATGAACTGGGCCTTTAGTAAAAAATATATAGTTGAAGTCCAGCCAGTGTGGCTCAGTGGTCAAGCATCAATCTATGAACCAGGTTTGATTCCCGTTCAGGGCACATGTCAGGGTTGCTGTCTTAATCACCAGTGTGGGACATCTACTAATCAATAATTCTCTCTCATCATTGATGTTCTTATCTCTCTCTCCCTTCCTCTCTCTGAAATTAATAAAAATATATTTTAAAAAAATACGTAGTTCACCCTAGCCAGTTTGGCTCAATAGATAGAGTGTCAGCCTGAGATTGCAGGTTTCCTGGCCCTGGTCAGGTGTGTGCAGGAGGTAACTGAGCCATGTGTGTCTCTCACATCGATGTTTCTCTCTGCCTCTCCCTCTCCCTTCCACTCTCTCTAAAAATCAATGGAAAAGTGTCCTCGGCTGAGGATGAACAACAAAAACACGTACAGTAGTTGGGAAAGGGAGGGTTTGGAAAGCAAGCCGCCTTTTCAGAAAGCTGTGGATGTTTTCTTTGGAATTGCACAACACGCCGCCGTGTCTCCCAGCGGCTGCCCTGGGACCCTGAAGCCCCCCAGCTGTACCACTTCCTGCTGCTTCATGAACCCGTTCGGACCTCGCTGGCATTTTGAACGACTCTCCTGCCCTCGTGTGTTTATGGAACAGCATGTGTTTACTCCTCTGACAAATATCAGCCCCGGAGTTACGCAGATGCTCCGAACAGTGACTCATCACAGTGTCATCATCGCCGTGTCCCTTCTGGAAAAACCCAGGAATGTAAATTTCCAGTAAGAAGCCGGTTTTTAAAACAGGAGTATGTATAGAACTGCTATTCATGCCCTGGCGGGTTTGGCTCAGTGGACAGAGCGCTGGTCTGCGGCCT